AGCGAGTTAACGATCGAAATTAACAGAAGGACTAACGGAGTGCATTTCGTATAGTTGAGGGATAAAAAAGTGCAAAAAATTGTTAAGGGACCAAAAATGTGCAAACCACTAAAGTTGAGGGACCAAATCTAGCATTTAACCAAATTCCAAACGACATCAGAAGTTGAAGGATAAGTGGAAGCATATAGAGACTGATGAGAGGCACTAGATCTTGTATTGGGCTAAGTAATTAGCAAGGGGCAACCACAAGCTTGATAGTTAAGGCCCTATACCATCGGCAAATAGTAGAAGTAATAGGATTGGCAATAATGGTAGTAAGCCTAGCCTTCCAATAGTCCGGTTTCAAGCACTATTCTTGAAAAAATTGTCACTAGAAAAATTCAAATTAGGTACTGCAAATTCACCCATTCTAACAGCTCCATGATTGTAACCATCTAAAAATTGCCATTGCTAAGAGGAACCATCGAAGGACTGCCAATTACCATCATAAAGGTGCTATCAATCGCTACCACAGGAGTTCTAATAACCATTGAAAAATTGTTGCCGGTTGCCACTAAAACTTCCTCGGCCACCTTGATTTCTACCACTCTTGTTATCTTGGTTAGTCCATCGTCTACCACGGTTGAGGCTTCCAGCATAAAAGTTGGGGGTTAGAAGCAAAAGAAGAAACACCCATTGTTTGTAACAGTTGTGGATTAATTGAGGAAAATTGCCCAGGAGTTGATTGAGATTCTCACTAGAGATTAGCTTTTTCAAATAAAAGAAGAAATCTAAGTTCTAGGAAAGTGGGGAATGATGTTCGTTAGGATATAGTCCATTTAGCCATTGAGAATGCTTGATCTAATCTAGCAATTGTTTGAAGAACCAAGTCCCTATTTGTCACATAATCTCCATTACCATGCATTCTATCATATAAAGATTTCACATGCTGTGGATCCATCACAGATTGGCTAGGTTTAGATACTCATCGCTCCATCTCTGGCTATTGTTTATTTCTTGGGAATTCTCTCATTTCTTGGTTATCTAAAAAACAAGCAAATGTTGATTGTTCTAATGCAGAAGCTAAGTATAGGGCTATTGCCAATGTAGTTGTTAAAGTTCTTTGGGTACGACAATTACTCTCTGAACTATTTGTGCTCTTCTTCCTATTCCTGTGGTCTATTGTGACAATCTTAGTACTATTTATTTGTCCATTAATCCTATTCAGCATAAGCACACTAAATATGTGGAGATTGAAATTTATTTTGTTTGAGAGAAGGTTGCATGTGGTGTGATTATGATTCAATACGTTCCCTTTTTCTATCAGCAAGCTAATGTTTTCTCTAAAGCTCTTTCAACACTGCATTTTAAGCCTCAATGAAACAATTTATGTGTGATTTGTAATCCTGCACAAATTGTGGGGGATGTTAATATATATGTATATATTGTATGAGGGTAGGTTAGACATTTCACTAAACATAATCCTATGTATATACGTACGCCGAATACCTAATAATGTAGTGAAAACATTATTTTGCTCTACTTTTAACTTGGAAAAAGTTATCCATTTACGTGTCAAATGCAATTCCTAGAGGACAGTAAGATAGGGAAAGTATTGAAACAAGTGTTCAAGGGCAAGTGCCCTTAACACTCCTCAAGTTGCACTTTTATTTTTACACCATTTTAAATGAATGAGTTTTTAGAAACATTGTTTTCGTCAACTTCCCATTCACAGATGGGCGAAAGCATAACAAAACAATATTTAGAATGAAATTTTCATTGAAGGGAATGAGAATAATACTATTCCAATTTAATTAGCAATTTAGCATCCTACAATATTGAATGGGCTGGACGATCAAAAAAAAAAAAAAGATTGAATGGGCTAGTCTTTAGTGAAAGTTCCCGAGTCTAGAATTTTATTTATAACATAGAAATCTTCATGAGCAGTAGGAGTTCAAATTATTAGAACCAAACAAGCCATGATGGGCACAAACATAACTTTTGCTGGGACTTTATTCTTCATGATGATGCAACAAGAAAAGCTAAAGAAGTTAATAAACTAAATCATTATTTGAGATAGCCTTTGTCCTTGCAACATTTGATAGCATCATCCAGCATTTCCTCAATGTTGTACTTGAATTTGAAGCCACTCTCCAACAATTTCTTTGATGACAACCCAGGTGCTTTGAAAATTTGACAATCTGCCAAGGAACTACAAAGCCAAATGAAACACTTTTTATTTTCAAATTTCAACAAAAAGCAAGAGTTCTAATTCAAGGGGAAAAAGGATAGCACTCACTCGGGTGAAGGTATTGTGAATTCTGGATATTTGGCAGAAAGAATTTGAGACAATTCCACAAATGTGATTGTATGGGAAGAACATATGTATCTTCCAGACACTGTGGCATTAGGATGCTCAAGTAGGAAAATTTGTGCCATGGCTACATCATCAAACATGCACCATCGATACATTCAATAGGTTAATATATTCTGCACTTTTCCCTGTGAAGGAATGTCATGGATAAAAACAAAATTAGCTAAAGCTAGCTTTTCTATATATATAATAAGACAGTAGTAAGTGATCTAATATATACATACCAAAGACTAGAGCTAATGCCATGGACACAGACTCTGGCAGCTTGGGACAAATGAAAGGACCCACAACAACGGGAAGGATTAAGGTGACTAGATCCAATCCATTTTCCATTGCAAATTCAAGAGCAGCCTTCTCCGTTAATCACTACTAAAAAAAGGGCCTTTTTCGGTCCAGATATTTCGGTCAAGAAAATTTCTTGACCGAAAAGCATATTATTTCGGTCATTATCTATGACCGAACAATAAGCTCGACCGAATTAAATGGAGAAAAACATGCAGTTCGGGCTCAACTGATTTCGGTCAATGAATTTAACCGAAATAAAACAATTTCGGTCAAGCTAACTGACCGAATAACACAAAAGAAAAATCCCCATCCCCGGCAATCTCAAATTGTATAAAATTCACTAATTCGGTCATAAAAAATGACCGGACTAAAAAAAAAAAAAAAAAAAAAATTTTCAGTCAGTTGAACTAAATGAACAACTGATGCAAATTTGCAAAATTTGCATAAAAATGAATGGTAAATCTGCATAATAGTTCTTTTAGATTCGCTGGTTAAAAAAAATTGCTTGAAAAAAATGAGTCGGAATATATATCCCTGTGCACGCATGGGAGTTCTGCAAATTTGCAGATCTCTTATGCTTGTTTCGGTCAGTCCCAATGACCGAAACAAGCAATGAATCTGCATTGAGATTCATCATGGATGTTTCGGTCAGTGAGACTGACCGAAACATGCCTAAGCAACATGTGCGGATGCTCAGCAATTTCTAGCCCCCATTCCCATGTAAATGTGCAGAATTGCAGTTTTCTTCAGGCATATTTCGGTCATTGTGAGTGACCGAAATATGCCTGAAAAAATCTTGCAGATTTCTTCATTATATTTCGGTCACTCCCAATGACCGAAATATGCATGAAAGATTCTTTCCCTGCACCAGCAACTTTTACCCCTATTCCGCATGGAAATATGAAGGATTGCAGATTTATTCTTGATGTTTTCGGTCAGTGGGAGTGACCGAATAAAGCTGTAGTCTGCAGAGCAGCTATGGCTAGCATTTGTTCGGTCATTGTGATTGACCGAACAAATGTTGTAAAAAATTGAGATTATCCCTGAATTGCGTGTGAAATTGCAACTGAGATTTGAAATAGACTGGTTCATTTTCATTCATTGCATTTGCATTTTTATCAGAAAGTCTTTGCTCTCTTTACTCTCATCGTCTCCTCTTTAACTCCTCACTAATTTCTGATTGAATGCATACAGAATGAGCTATTGCTGATTAATTTAGTTAATATTTAGTAATTTTCAAGGTTTTTGATCTAAGAAAGGTATGATTATATATATTCCTCCTCCTCCTTTCTCTTTTTCTTTTTTTTGATATATTTTTTGTAAAATTTTAGGTAATAATTCTCTCTTAACTGCAATATCCAATTTCTACATCATTTGTGTGCTACCGTGCTTTGGATTTGAAATTCTGCTTGTTAATTTGAATTGAGGTTAGTTAAAGTTTATGTATTTATTTTTTGTTATAAATTATTTTTGGTTTCGGGTGCATCTATCCCACTCAAATAAGTAATTTCTTATTCATTTTTCTGAATTAAAAATCAGTCAAACTACAATTATGTTATATAAATTTTTTTCTTTATTTTTTGTAGAAATTTAGTTTAGAAAGAAATAAAAAAAAATATGATTAGTAATTAGGAATGTATGATTAAATAAATCAAATAATTTATTATAAAATACTGATTTTATTATTCAATTAAATAATAAGCATATTGATTACCTTAATTAATTAATTGATTAGAAAGTTATGATGATATGATTTAATTGTTAAATAAACTATAATTTATTAATTGTTTGATTGCTAAAAAACTATAATTAATTAGAATGTATAATTGATTGATTAATAATTTATAATTACATATTTAAGTGCTAAGTAAACAAAAATATGTTTATTAAGCAAGCTGTTTATAAAAGTATTATTTCATTTTTTTTATGGATGATAAATAATGATTATTGATTGATTAATTAGAGAATTATGATTATATGCTTTAATTGTTAACTAACTTATAATTAATTAAATTGTTTACTTCATCAAAAAATTCTAATTAAATGTAATGATTATAATTTATGACTAATTAAATCATAATGGCATATTTAATTACAAAGTAAATTTTGAATAATTTATTAATTAATTGATTATAAATTACTATGTTAATTAATGGACAGTTAAGATTACTTATAAAGGAAAATGGACAATCAAGATTACTTTGATAGCTACGTTTCGGACAGTCAACCAGA